AGAGTATCATGGGTTCTGGACAGCTTTCAGGCACTGGCAAGAGTTTCTACAGGGTGTTTCACTAAAAGTGTCAAAAAGTAAATGCATATTAAAGTTATATAAAATATGCAAATTACGTGGTTGCACACGTGGCTTTGTTGCAAATTTTTGGACATTTATGCTTTGTCCATTTAAGATATATTTTACACTCAAACGGAGCGAGGGCAGGAGGCCAAAGTTACTAGTCGTTTTTTTCCTTATGCAGAACAAGAACAGGTTATTTACACCGCAACAGGAGGGGTGAATTACACTTACTTTTGGTGCATCAGAAACATTGAAACCATATGCCGACTTTTCAGGAAACGTTTTATTCTCTCACCTCGCTACGTTCCAGATTATAAAAGGTTCAAAGGGCTTCTTGAGAGGTTTAAAAACGTTCCTTCGATGCCGGTCCCAGTCCAAAAAAGACGGGGTCCCCCACCTCTCGGCGGAAACCGTAGAAAAGTTCAGGGTCTTTTTGAGGGTCTTTAAAGATAACAAGAAGCTAATTTCAACATCAGAAATAGCCAAGGCCTTACAAGTTATCAAAAACAGCCACTATAATGGCTGTAACCACCAGGAACTGGCTGGATTAGAAGTTCCTGCGCCGAAAAATCAGCTGCCTCGCCGCCCGCCTCTGGCCAGCGCGAAGCCCCGATCCGTCACCGCTTTACTTCTGGTTTTGGTCAGTAGCTCTCGCAGAGCTGAGGAAGACTCAAGTCGCATCACTTCGGGAGCTGAAGAGCACCATTCAAATCTTTGCCGACAGTCTGGACGCTGAAGATGAAAACGGGCTGTGAGGCACCTCCGGACACGTGCCGAAATGGTGCATCAAAAGAAGGGGCGGATATGTGGAATAGGTTTGAGTGACGGTGCTATCGTTTTTATATATTCAAATGTCCAACAATTGCGGATGAAATGGTATGCAAATTTCCGTAGAAAACATTGGTATTATGTGCACTATGACTTTTACTTTTTGACACTTTTAGTGAAACACCCTGTAGTAACTCATTTTTTAAGACATACATGTGTCTCATCTCACATGTGTCTCTTCTCACATGTGTCTCATGTCAGACGATTAATAATGTACCTTGTTTATAACTCTATGCCCGATAGCAGACGACTGTCCAGGGCGATGTCCGCCGTATCCCTCCGGCTCCACGTGCCGGACATCGGGCAACAGGGTGACATCAGGCTGACCTCTGAAGAAATTACTAGTAACACCAGGCAGGGGCAGTTGACTTGTATTTATTTCTTTATCTTTTCCTTCAGAAAGGGAACCGAATAACGAAGCTTACTTATTCCGCATGTTTACATTGGGTAAACATCTAATAATAGCTCAAATAACATCTCTGTATATTGTTTATCAGTACCTAATCCATCCATTTGATGCTAATCAGATAATCAGCCTGAAGTCATTCTGGCTAAGAGAGGGATAATGTGCTAAACTGTCAATAAGGTATGAAAACACCAACGGACTCCGGATCTGGGTTGACATTGACAGATCCATCGGGATCCATTTAGAGCACTCATGGTGCAATTGAACACAGTTGGATTCCGTAAGATCCGTTAGTCAATAGACATGGACATGCTCACCAGATGATTTTATATGATACTTCAAGTTTTCAGAAACCCTTATAAGCTGACAGACCTGGGCAACCATATAGAGACTGAATTTGAGGCCAAGACCCGAGCGAGATCCTATCCCCATCCATCCCTATATCCTGTCCATCCCACTCCCAGTTGACCCATATCCTGGACTGCGGGCCGGCGGGGACGTGTGGGCCGTCTCTCCCGGCCGAGTTCCCCCGTCGGGATAGTAACTGGGTGGCAGTATTAATTGGGGTCAGCAGGAGCGAGAGGAACGGTGGAAGAAAGCAGAATGAGTCAGCCGGCGATAAACAGCCAAGATGATATTAAATATGATGAGACATCTCTGAAATCTGCATAAATGAAGATAAGAGGATGCAACAATATATTAAGTCGTTGGACAAAAGCTGAGCTCAGGTCACTCTCAGGTTAGGTCAGGTTTTGCCGGATTCATTAGCGTCCCTTGCACCCGAATATTATCGGGAAGAGATATATCTGTCACGGATGTCACGGAAGAGATAAGCTGTCAAGTGTCACGGGACGGATCACCTGTTCTGATAAACTTATGGGCTTATAAGCACATCTAACATACATATATGCTATGAACGGTGATATGATACTTTCATTGGATTTGTTTTGCTTTTCCAGGTTGTATATAGTTTCTCGTGTGTAAAATCCCATTAATACATACTTTACGGTGCGTTCACTGGAGATTAACCGTGCGTTAATTCGAAGGTAGCCGTGCACCAATTTAAATTGGTGCACGCGCGTGCAGTGATGACTTTCTCGACTGAAATTTTTCGGAAGGGTCATTGACTTTATTCTAAGAATTCCATAAAAGGCCCTTTTAGTGTCATGGACTAAGTTTTATTTTAATTCAAATTCGCACCGTTAAGCATGTATTAATTAGTTTAACACATGGTTTCCGTGCATAAATGGTTTTAACGCACTCGTGGATGGAATGGAGCACTTGTGCGTTAATGCACTCGTTTCACTCGTGCATTAACGCACTCGTGCTCCAACCCATCCACGTCGTGCGTTAAAACCATTTACACACGGGAAACCATGTGTTAATATATATTCACAGTAGCTTGCATTCGCCACGAAACGGACGAGTTCGGATATGCATCCCATGTTTTTTTTTTAAATAGTAACTATAATAGCATTTTGAACCAATTTAATTTTCACCCAACCAAGCGCTTTGTGCTGTCTTGAAATAGCTTCCAAGAAAACATTTAATTTCTTAAGCCGAAAGTCACACGAACCGGTTTGATCTGATGGCACACATGTTTGATTGGTATTTGGTGGGAACTGTAGAAAGTTGTCGTGGAACGCTCCACACCACATATGTAGGAAACTGTAACCGTTTATGTTGAAGTCTGCGCTGAGGCCGATGAACTTCAGCTCGGGGTAGCAAAAGATGTGCTTAGCGAGCGCAGCGAGCGAAGCGAAATCTTTTCAATATAACGGAAAAAAATATCAGTATGAGCGGCCCGGCCCGGCCCGGCCCGGCCTGTACCGCTTTTGAGAGGCTTATATTTCAGCAACCGCTAGACCGATTGGCCTGCGGTCTTTTTTGCTGGGTAGCCCCATCCCTTCTACCCCGTAATTGACTACTTTTGATACATCTCAGTGACCGTCGTGGCACGTGCCACGTGAAAAGTCAAGGGTGTTCAAACTGTTTTGCAAAAGTAGTGATTTTGAGAGGCTCATATCTCGGCAGCCGCTTGGGCGATTGTCGCGGTAATTTGTGTAGGGCAGCTGCATCCCTTCTACCCTACCAAAGGTCGGATACTTTTGATCTATGTGAGTGACTCCCACTGCACGTACAAAATACAAAAAGAAAAGGTGCCAAATTTGTTCCCATTTCAATAACTGTAATTACTGGGGCGATTTCGCTGAAACTTGGCATACAGGTAGGCACCCACCAGGCAATGCATTTCCATGTGTTGCGGTTAGGGTGCTACTGCACGTGCGCACGTGCAGGGGGCGCTTCCAGATCTCAAGAACGGCTGGGCCGATTGCGCTCAAATTTTGTACGCGGTTGGGGACCGGTTAGTAGGGTGCCGTGCAAAAGTCAGGTTTGGACCCCGTTTGCACGTGCGCACGTGCAGAATGCCGCTTCCAGATCTCAGGAACGGCTGGGCCGATTGCGTTCAAATTTGGCACACCGCTAGCGACCGGTTAGAAGGGTGCTTTGCACAAGCCCCCTTGGAAGTACCCTCTCGCCCTTCCGCACGTGCAGGGCTCACTATCTCGCTCGCTCGTACTTCGCCCAAAAGGCGTTTTACTGGTTATAACGAAGCCTTGTTTGTTGAAAATTGTCTGGCCGTTGGCTTCGATCGTATACTCATGGTCGTGAAAAATGCAACCGCTTCATTACAATTGACGAGCTCGTCGCAGGGCATTGGAGTGTGATGGATCGTACAGTCTGTCTTAAAAGTACCGCGCAAAGTGGCGGTGGATCCATCAAGCCTGACCGAGAAAGGGTCTGCTTTAATTTGAAAGTCACCGACCAATTGACCTAGGGAATGGACGAGGATGTCAATTGCTTCGGTGACCCAAATTTGGCAGGCCCTTCCTCAGTCAGGCTCGATGGATCCACCGTCACTTTGCGCGGTACTTTTAAGACAGACTGTACATTAATCTGATAAGCGCGGCTTGTTTCTGTTTTGGCGATTGCTGCTTTTACTTCTCAGACTTTATTTTCTAACTCTCTAAGTAACGTTTAGACGAATGATAGGCAGCGCAGCTGTTACTCTGAAAACGGGATTGGGAATGGCCTTGCTCACGCAAATTTAGGTACTTTTAGCTTTGTTTTATCAGGTTAAACCTATCGGTGTACTGAGAAAAATTGTCGACCTTGGTGTGGGAGGATAAGGTACAGCTGAGCCCATTCTGTTCGGGCGGGAGTTTTCCGGTGGGACAGGTCATCCACCCACTCAAAGGACGCTCCGGAGGGGAGTGGTACACTCTTAAGTCTTCATGGAGGTGAGATGATCATGGAGGTGATCCCCTACCCGTTGTGTCGTAGTGTAACGTCAGACTGGTAAGGAAATTGTGGACAAAGTCGTTTGTTAAGATGTTATATGGGTTCCTATGGGTTCCTCTTTTTTGTTGAGTAGCAAATTATTGTTCATAACACACTCAAGCGCTACCTGACCTTATAAGGAGATGTCAGTACATGCGGTATGTGCCACAGCACTCTCTGATCATTTCCGTTGGGTCTGGTCCTGTGAGGTGCCACCAGCCAGGGCCATTCGGGGGAAAGTAAGGAGAAACTGCGTGCCGGCCGGGGGCGGCTTCTTTTCACTGTGTCCGTTCTGAGGGCGGCCGGCCAGCCAATCGGCGTCGGCGAGCCAGCTCATCAGGCGTCGCCCGCAGCCCAAATTACATCACCGATAGCGGTCCTCGACGGAGGCGAGCTGAAATATCACCGATTCCCGGCCGGCGGGACAGTCGTTCAGAGCGGGGAACCGATCACAGACGCTTCAGTGAGTCCTCCTCCAGCTCCGGTGGTCCTGTGTGGTCCTACCGTGGTCCTACGCAGCTCACAAGTGACTTTCTTCAGAATTTGTCTTGTGTCCTGGGCCCCGTTTCATGAAGCAAGTCCGTAACTTACGCCGGTTTTTAGTCTTGTATTGCAAGTGCATGTGAAGCGATGAAGATAGTTTGAATCGTTGACTTTATTTATCTTGCAAGCAAGAACAGAAGGGAGAAGGGGAAATAAATTTATCGCTTCACATGCGCTTGCAATACAAGCCCAAAAAACCGGCGTAAATACGGACTCACTTTATGAAGCCCCTGGTGTGGTGGTGAATTGTTCCTCACACCGAGTCAAGTACACGACAGCTCATAGATGGCTTGAATGCTGATTTAATTTTTCTTGGGGATTATTTTTAACAGTTCCAAGCCACGGCTTTCATAGCATTGCCTAACACGCTCTGATAAAATTGTTATTTTTCGTCTTTCAGGCCAGCAGCAATGAAGGTGTTCCTCGCCGTGGCCGTGCTGGCCTGCAGTGGCCTTGTGATGGGTGACGGTGGTGGCCACGGCGGCCACGGAGGTGGTCACGGAGGCGGCCACGGGGGTGGTCACGGGGGCGGTCACAGCTCCGGCGGTCACATCTCCGGTGGTCACAGCTCCGGCGGCCACGGCAGCAGCCACGGCAGCAGCCACGGTCCGGCCACCAGCTCCTACTCTTCCATCGGCAGCAGCGGCCACTCTTCCGGCCACTCTTCCGGCCACTCTTCAGGCCACTCTTCGGGCCACTCTTCGGGCCACTCTTCGGGCCACGCCACCCAGGCGGCTGCAGCCACCAGCTACGCGGCCCCGGCTAGCAGCCACCACGCCAGCGGCCAGGCCGGCAGCACTGGCTACTACTACTACTACTACCCGGTGGAGGAGCACAAGGGACAGGTCGAGGGGGTGAGTCCAGGGCACGGCCCAACACGTGACAGGTGCACGTGACCCGGTGGAAGAGCACGAGTCGTGTGCACGTGACTGGAGGGTGGAAGGCACAGCGTGCTCACGGCACGAACACACGTGGGAAATAGGGAAGAGGAGGGAAGCTGGACTAGATCTCATGTTAGCTGTTGCCTGCGTGTACCTGGGAAGTGGGAGCCGCACATTTTGTGAACGGCTTATCCGTTAAAAACGGAACGTCCTAACGTTCTTTTTTACGTTTCTTTTAACGCTGAACCAGCCGAAAAGTTTGTTTAGCGGTGTTTTTAAGTTAAGAACTGTTTAATTATGTGAATTAACATAGACATCTTAATACTCGATCGCTGACTTCACCGAAGATGGATTAGAAATTGTTTTGTCTAAGTTCTTCACCGTGTGGCGAATGTAAAGTTAACTATGCATTTGAGGAACAAGCCAATAGGACTACACTAAAATTTGATACTGAAACGGTCTTCGATAGATATTAGGAATAATATCGATCAGTACTAGTGATCGATTTTTCTTGAAACTACTGATCGACTCTGACCTGAAATTTTGGCCGTCCCAAAATTATATCACAGTTCCTGACCGGGGCCCGTTATCTTGTCGCATTCCCTGATCGGGGCCGTTACCGCCGTGTCAGTTTCCTTGACCTGAAATGAGTCATATTTCCCTGACCGGGGCCGTTAGCGAGTCGCATTCATGGTGACCGGGGACCTCACCGAATCACAGTCCTTGGGTTACCGTGGTAGCACATTCCCTGACCGGGGCCGTTACCAGTCACATTCCCCGACCCGGCCATTACCGGATCAGTTTCCCTGACCGGGGCCGTTACCAAGTCACATTCCCCGACCCGGCCATTACCGGATCAGTTTCCCTGACCGGGGCCGTTACCAAGTCACATTCTCTGACCGACCGTTGTCCTCCGCGCCGCAGGGCTCCGGCGGCCTGGATCTGGCCGGCCCCATTCTGATCGCTGTGCTCGTCGGTATCGGCATCATCCTCCTGGTGGCCGCCGCTGCCGCCATTGCCAACGACGACGACAACAACGCGCGTAAGCTGGCGACGAGCCTGCTGCCGGCGCAGCTGGACCAGCTGCTGCACCATGAGCAGCTCGGACAGGTGGCCGCCATGGCCATGCGCGCCATCAACAAGAGGTGGTAAAAGGTGAGTGTCGCAGGGTGGAGATTGGACGAGTGGGTGTGCTGAATGGGACATGGCCTCAGCGGTCACCTCGTTGAAACGATAGGGTTCAGTTAGACGGCTTCCTGTCTATCCATCTGCCTCTGACCGTCTCTGTCCGTCTTATCTATCCGTCTCTCTCTCTGTCTTTCTGTCAGCCTGTCTGTCCGTCTCTCCGTCTGTCTGTCCGTCCGCCTCTCTCTCTCTCTCTCTCTCTCTCTCTCTCTCTCTCTCTCTCTCTCTCTCTTTCTCTCGCCTCTACCAATTTGCGTACCCCGCGGCCCGGGTGACCCAATACGGCGAGGAGATGGGAGATGGCCGACATTCCGCGAGGTCGGGTGCCCGGGTCGGCCGACCGGTGCCCGTTCGCCCCACTTGGAGCGGCGGCGCGCGGCGGGCGGGCGGCCTCCCCCTGAGGCGATACCGACCCCTGCGGCGTTCCGACGCTCCGCGCCCGCGCCGCCGGCGCGCCTGTAATCAACTGATTACTATGGGCTGATTACGACCAACTGATTACTGTGAACTGGTGACGCGGGCGATTAGGTCATGAACTATGGAATATGGATGCCGGCTGTACAAAAATGAGGAAGAGGAGAAACACGTATGTAGGCCAGGTTTCTAAAAGGTGATTGATGATGACTGTGGAGGTGGTTTCACAACAACACCTACATCGCTAACGTCCTTTTTCCTTACTTTCAGATAGCAGCGAGAATGCGCTTTCTGGGGAAACACAAGACCAGAAGAGCGTCTCAGGTACAATAACCCTCAATGAGCAACAATCAGAAGATGGTGTGATACGCGTTCTCTACTACCTAACCAGGGATGAAATTTGTGTCATGAAGAAGAGTCACATTGTCATTGATGTCACAACTTCTTAGCTGGTATTGATAGTCAATGACATCTGACACAGTGCGATTGCTGTGTTAAAGTCTTAACTTTGTTTGTTTTCTTCGTATTAGTCAATATTCTTCTTTTGCTGTATCAATGTCCTTGTTTTTGTTGTTTGTTTTTATGTTGTTTGTTAATTATTCGTTCGTTGTCAAAGGGCTCCTCGTTGTCTTTTGTCTGTTGCTCGTATTGTTTGTGAATTTGTGTTTGTTTTGTCCCGCTGTCTGTGCCGTCACGCTGTAGGTTATGTGTCGTTATATGTTGTGTCGTATTTGTGAAGGTGGCCCTGTCCCTGGTTTGTCCATGTTAAATGTTTCGTCATCGTCCTTTCTACTTGTGGTCCATTGACGTGCATATTTTGTGTTGTTTTACTTGTTGTTTGTTATTTGTTTTGTGTTACGTGTTTTATGTGTTGAACGTGTTTTATTTGTTGTGTTTGTCCATGTCTTGTTGATGTTTACTAGGTATTTCACGATGATCATTGATCATTTCATGTACAAAGTTTGTTGATGGTTATAGTGCTGTATGGTTGACATGGTGTCCTCCTACGCAATCTTCTGTTAAACGAGTACTGAGTGACCAGCGAAATCACTCCATTACTTATTTTCGTACAGGTCTTACTCATCTTCAACCTTTTTTTAGTCTAACTTGAGAGCTATGCCTCTTCTCATTTGATGATTCGTTGTTATTCTCACCTGCCCATGAAGGAGCTTGTGTTTTACATCCAGTTGTGTAAACACAAAGTTTCCGTGTTGTTATTTGTTACGGACGTTTGATTGTTATGTTTGAAACTGGAAACGTTTTGCTACTGTGGCTGACGCAATACAACTATGAGAAACAAGGAAAATATGAGTGAGGAGTGTTGGTCTGGTTATCACCGTGAACAACGCATGGGCTTGCATTCATAAAGTAATATCCAGGATCGACTCATTTTATGGAACATATATTTAAACACCAGCATGAGCCTTTACCACGTATGGTCTTTTACACATTCTTTCTTATTCGAATTATAAACCACAAGAACCAAAATACAAAATACCCCGGCAACAAGACTGGTATCGTCGACATGATATGAAACGGTTCGCAATGATTAAATAGGACAAAATATTCATTTGAACTAATGATCTGCTCGCAGGACGCTGGACGAGACATATCTGTACCTAACACATTTAAACACATTTCTCTATCCAAAAATGACAAGGTCTGAATAAAATTGCATCGTAAGTGCGATTGAAACAAGACATGTTGACATTTTATTTATTATAGGGCGGACTGACAAAGTAAATGAAACCAGAAATGTAAACAGAAATACCAGGGAACATTCACAGCAAACACTTTGTTGCGAATTTGAAAACTACAAAGCGGTCAAAACTGGAGCTCGTGCATTCTTACCTTGATGAACAGTCACCAGCAGTTGCTACCCATCACCCTCGGACGGCGGGGGAGCAAGCTACCACCGCCCCTGCGAGACTAGCGCCGCCATGCGCCAAGAAGTGGAAACACCACGTGACTGAGGCCACGTGAGGGCAGGGTCACGTGATGGAGGGGCGGAGCATAGTAGCTTTTGCGCCCGACACTAACTGAAATGCGGCGCTGTGATTGGGCGCCTTAGCATGAATGAAGCCCCGGCGCCAGAATCAGCCGTTCGCCTTATATGGAAATTGAGCCTTTGCGTTTCACTGTTCTGTATTGGTTTGAGAGCCACGGCACCATACGAATTGTGAGCCCCTTTGAACGGGTCACCGCCCGAGGCACTGAGGCGACGGCTGTGCCGGGCAAAGTCTAGCCTGGTGGGAGAGGTGGGCCAGGGAAAGTGCGATCGAGCAGCCACTGGGACGTGGATTGGTATTATCCAACCGCGACAAACGATGTCAGTAGCCTCTTCTCGTGTCATAGACAGTGTCTATGACACGAAAAGCTAGACAATGTGGACAGTGCCCAATCAAAAGCTACTGAACGATCCAGTTAAGGAGTTGGCAAGGTAGCCAGACCAAATAAAAAGTTTTTAATTCGATTTTGGTTGACAAATGACATACAAGCCCGCTGTGATGGACCAAAAAAGGAGCTGAACAGTTCATACAACTTCTAAAAAGCTCAACGGTTTAAAAATTCAAAAGTTAAATGTTAAAATTCAGCCTGCATGTAACATTATTAAACTCTGGTCCGGCGCTGGCAGGAAGCTTATATTGCCGCTTGCAATTCCACTACGTTGTAATATAACCAATTGTTCTGTGAGAGCAGCAACTGAAAGCCCGGTTGAGGGGGGAGGGCGGCGCAAAACGGTCCCCTCTCTCCTTTTAAGTCGATATCTCCTAAAGTATAGCAAATGTCGGCACCAAACTTTCAAGACCCCTCCGGGCATCATTTTTACACCTTGTGACCAAATTTTCCAGAGCTCTTATGAAAGGTTAGTCACAAATGACGTCAGAGGGATGCCATGTTTTGTCATTTTCGACCCAATAAAAGATTTAGCGGGGAGAGCTGTTACGCTACAGTTTTGAAGATAACGAAAAATATTCAAGATCAAAAAGATGTAAAATAAACAGCGCTACCGAACTGCTAACTCTTATCTCTAAACAAAAATTGATTTTGACCATCAAAACTATAGAAGTATAACACCCCGAAAATACCAACAACTTTCAAAATTAAAACTGAAATATATGTTATAGAACTATCTGCTCTAGATATGCCAAACTTAAACTCGATAGCTCCATTTTTAGCAAAGTTATGGCAAGAAAGCTACTCAAAATTTATTACGTAAAATTTTCAAATTCAATTTTTAGCCGTCACAGAACACACAAAGCAAGCCAAAGACTATTGGATTTCCTGTGATGAGTTGCATCGAATAGATACCCCTTTTATGCAAAACATCAACTTTGAAATTTGACCTTCTTTGACCTGACCTTGACCTGACCTCCACTCACACCGTCTACGGCCGTCTAGCTCACACCATTGAATTTTAAATGTAAAATTGGCCATAAAACATGTATCACACGACCCTAGCATAGTTGGGTTCATATTGTGACCCTAAGTGACCTGACCTCTGTGAACTGACCTGGCATCAATGACATCTTTAGGCAGCATATGTATTAGACAACCAACGCTCCATCGATGTTTTTTCGATTGCATGCGTTTTATTTGATGTGTTAACTGACTGTAACGCATTCCTTAGACTAAATCGGTGAAAACAATGCGACCTTTGACCTGACTTGTGACGTCATGGGTTGCACCTAGGTCAACGAAACCCGGTAACATGGTAGTTCCCTGGTGGGGCTATCGAACGCTCTTTGAATGTTTAAAATCGGTCGGTAACTTTCCGAGATCTCAGGTGGAGGGCGAAACGGCTGCACCACCCGATCAGGTGGTAGGGTCCGCCAATAGCCCAAGGGGGCGCGGAATATTTATTCACTCATACAGTGTCATTTATTTTGAGAGCACCTTTCTCACGCCATGACAAGGCCCTCTCGTAATAGAACGAAATGAGGAGAGTGTTTTCACGCCTCCTTTTGCACGGCTCTAAGTGTCATTGAGCTATCAACTGTCAGCGGTTTTCGGACAATGAAGTTCTTAGTTCTTACTGAATCCAATTTTATTTCAGACGATTGTCACTGTGCTAGTTTTCACTGTGCTGCGTAACGGGGGACACCGTGCCCCCTCTGATTTTGGCGTTTCTTCATTAGCCCTATGAGCGTTGCATGGAAATAATAGGGCCAAAAGTCGGCAGTGCCCCCCCCCCCCCCTTAATTGAAGGTGTTCCGCCGCTACTGCATCCCGTCAACGTGGGTTTATCATAAGGATGCTAAGATTTAATTTCCGATCCGAAGCTGTAACGATGGAAAGCAAATTTGCATTTTACATGTGAAACAAGCTGACACAACTAAATATTTCCTCTCTCGCTCCCTCTCACTGATTTACCAATTGCCCTCTTTCTCATTTTACCCTCTCTGGTTTTCCTTTTCAGTTCTCTCTCTCTCTCTCTCTCTCTCTCTCTCTCTCTCTCTCTCTCTCTCTCTCTCTCTCTCTCTCTCTCTCTCTCTCTCTCTCTCTCTCTCTCTGTCTCTCTCTCTCTCTCTTTCTTTCTCTCTCTCTCTCTCTCTCTGTCTCTCTCTCTCTCTGTCTCTCTCTCTCTCTGTCTCTCTCTCTCTCTCTCTCTCTCTCTCTCTCTGTCTCTCTCTCTCTCTCTCTCTCTCTCTCTCTCTCTCTCTCTCCCTCTCTCTCTTTCCCTCTCTTTTTCTCTCTTTCTCTCTCTCCCTCTCTCTTTCTCTCTCTTTCTCTCTCCATCTCTCTCCTCTCTCTTTCTCTCTCTCCCCTCTCTCTTCCTCTCTCTCTCTCCCTCTCCATCTCCCTCACTCTCTCTCTTTCCTCACAATATTCTCGACTGTCACTGCGTTGTAGGGCTTGTTTCCAGACAGGTCCAGGCGCTCCCACTCCGCAGGCCCCAGCCCACACGGCCCAACCGCTCAAACACCCTCCGGCGGATGACCTCTGACCTCGGCGACCTGACCCCAGCCGACCGATCGCGTCCCTCTCCACGCCTCCGCCCCGCTTCCCCCACTACAACTGCGTAGTAATTGTAGCGTGTGCAAAGGTCACGTGACATTATTTACTTCTGCGGCTTGTTCGGCTGACAAGAGATGGCACTAGTGGTCTGTGGATCAGAGGCGGGACTAGGTTCTACGACTTCTTGGGGCACACTTTAGGGCAGAAAAGAGGTTTTTTGGCTCCCCATCCCAAAATGCTTCGAATATACAAAGACAAGTTAGATATTCGAAAATCGGAGGACCAAACGGATCGTTTGACGTATCTTGCGCGACTGAGCATTGATCGGTCTTCGAACTACTGAACAAAAACGAGGTGATTAGTAGCAAGTGCTGGTGACTGAACATAAAACTGACACTGAGCTTGTGTGTTTCGTAGGTACTCATGCACGTAAAAAAACTTAAAGGTTGATCTCAGTGATCAGCGATCAGCCAGTGCTTTTGGTCCTTGAATATTCGAGCCTATGACCATAACTATATTCCTATTTTATAAAGCGTAGTTTATTAAAACCAAGCTGAGAGAATTACAAAGCACTGATGTGTTGTGTTGAATCTTGCGAGTTTTAATATTTCAGAACGCAACGACGAGACAACGAGATGACGAGAGGCGTCACGACTCACTTTCTTTGGTTTTATAGACCGGTTGCTGCTTGTACTACGTGAAACTAATAATATATGACATTGACACTGCTACATCTGTGACAGTAGCATGATAACGAATAATAGCAGCTTGTACGGTGGCAGTTGCTGCCTATATCGAGCGACTGCAAACTCATATGAATTAAAAATCACTCCACAGCACCAGATTTAACATTTTTTCGAACGCACTTTGAAAGGCAAGATCGCCGAACAAATTATTAAAGATTATTATTGGCGTGTCCATGAAACATTAACGATTTTTGTTGTTGTCATTCTTGCCAGAGCAAGCTTAGCGACGTCACATTCTACATTGTAAACTAGCACCTTTTTACAATATGATTTCTACGACCTACACGCATGTACATAGATAACTTTCCAAACATTTTTTTTCTGGGTCACAATCTAATTGCATGTCTGAATCAAATTGTGATCTATGTAAATTTTAACTCAATAAAGCGCTATGTATGGGATTCAAGCCAAATAGGCACTTTAATAAAAGCGAATAAAATACGTTACAGTAAAGCTGACATACCAAGTTAGCACCTTTGGCTTCGTGAATAAATTATTTACGGTTTCGAGCAAGACTCTTGGGCCTGCTGTCACGGCTTGAAATTCCTTTTGAGCTCCTCCCCTTCTGCACAAACGAGCGGTTGACGGCCGCCGCAGCCCGGTAACCAGTCTCTACGGGCACATCGCTTCAGAACTGGCCGGCGAGTGTTGGCAGGCTCCCATCCCCATCCTACATCTTCCGTTGGCGTAGGACGGTGTCCTTTTCTGCAGCCGCCTCCTCGCTCTTCTCAACGGTCTTCTGCAGTAGCTGAGGGTTGTCCTCCCAAGCCTTGCAGGTCAGCATGTGACACTGAGGGTCCTCAGACCGGGCGGCCTTCTTGAAAATCCGCAGGTTGTCGCTCTTCCGTGACAAGAAGAAGTTGAAAAACCTGGGGAAGTCAATAGCGGTCGTCAGTAACCGTTTAGCGAGGACATGCATTTCCATATATGCGACAATTATTGCGTATACATTTATTCGATATACAGTACACCATTGAATAAACTCACGAGAGGGTCTGGTTGGCGTATGACGTGCGTCCCACTGTGGAGCCCATCTCGCAGAAGAGCCGGTTCACGCACAGAGGATCCTCACTGACAGACGTGTAAATGGCCATCGCTCGGCTGAGCAGGTCATCCGAGGGCCCATCTGAAACCAGTCGACCGTCAGGGTAAGGAGACAACGATAAAAGAAAACGATGGAGCACAAATATTGCAAAGGGAAAGAGCCACTACTTTGTGGTTACAAATCCAAATTCATTTTCTCAGGCACTGACATCAGATGCGTTCAATAACGAGTTTATTTTCTCAAATTGCACTCCAAAGTCCAAACTCCCGCGAGGTAAGATCTGTCGACTCGCACGGGCTCTCAGCCTCTTCGCCATTTTTTAACGGACAGTTCTTTTCAATAATTAGCCTGCAGCCCTCATCAACTACTGCATGCTGTCGGGTATTCTTATTTACGTCACTGAAGCCAAGCGGTCTGGGCGTTCATACCCACCCCCGTTCAAATAATCTTACCTTGTCCGTCGTTGGCCCGGTTATTGCGTCCCGTGCCGGCAATGTTGGTGACCGACGGGAACAGGAACAGCAGCGTGATGCCCAGCAGGATCGGGATGATGATGAGGCCGTACTTGCCGATGTTGCCGAGGAAGCCGCCGCCGCTGTCGTACGCCGACGGCTCGGTGTAGCCGTAGCCGTCCGTCGCGTAGCTGGTGTAGCCGGTGTAGCCGCCGGTGTAGCCATCGGTGTAGCCTCCCGAGCCGTGATCAGAGAGGCTGTAGCTCTGCGCGGAGCCGTGACCGGAGTCGTGCGAACTGTACTCGGAGCTGTGGAACGAGCCGTCTCGTTTGCCGACGGAGGGTGGCGCCAGCAGAGGACGGGTGCCCAGCACGTGACGGACCTGGTGGCTCCTCTGCAGGGTCTGCTCGGTTCCACTGCTCTCTGTAGAGAGGACAGAGCTCGGAGACGGAGACGCGGACAGGTGGGCGGCGTTGGTGGTGGCCAGACCGGCACCCAGCGCCAGGAGCGACAGACGGACCATGGCTGAGAGACCTGCGTGACACAGCACACGGGCAGGATGTCAGCACCAGCCACAATGCACACCGCCAGGCTATCCAGCGCCTGCGGAATGCGCTACACAGGTGCCAACGCCAGGACGATAATTTGATGATCGCTACTGATAAATTATTGATTATTCTTTGCCAAAACCAGCCAGAAAACCAGCACCATGACCTAATATTAGGCCAACCATTATCAATATATTTAAGAGATCTAACTGTAAATGTCTGGGGATAAATGCAAATGCGGATGGGCTGGCTAGAATTAAGGAACGGCAAATTCTGCCTTGTCCCTCTTTAACGATCCAATTTTTAATGCGACTTTCAATTTATCGTAACATGGTGTTTGGCATCCCTAGTAAAACTGTTTTCATGCCAGCAATTCCAGCACTTCTTATTAAATTTAGCGCCATGAAATATAGCGATGATAGCTGACGTTATAAATACGGAAATGAAAATGGAGAAACGGTCTAAGAACTGTCACAATGAGCATATTTTGCAGCGACGGACGTAATGTATAAACGCCTTTTTTACACGTTTCTATGCTTATTTTTACGCCTGTAATTGCAGCGCAACTTGGACATTCATTGGTACTTTTGAAACAAAATTTAACATTTGCTATTTTTTCGTCCAAATTTCTCGTTCATGGATTCACTAAGACCATGTGGTCGGTAGCAGATGCCAGCCAACGGAAACGTCTTCTCGCTAGCATAGCGCGAAGCCACTTGGGAGAGAAAGCTAGTTTCGAATCGCTTCGACGATCACTAATAACTCATGACCTCCATGGCCTTTGACCTTTGCACTTTTTCCACGGTTAGTTTAAAACATTCTGTAAGAAAATGCACCATAACATTTACACGTGCATGCCACACATAAGGTAGATGTGGCCTCGGAGTTCATGTTGCTGAATTATCTTACCTTGTTAGGAGTGTCCTATCCAAAGTGAGGTCGGTTCACAATGACTAGTTGAACTCGGATTCGCACACTCAAAGTCCAGCACACCTCGGACCACCACTGGACAGACACCGCCTGTCTCGTGCGACACCGAGTGCACAATGCCCCGGGGGACGGTGGACGGTGTCAAAGTCAACCCGACGCGGGGTGAAAGGTCGTCCGGACGCCCGGGGGTCGGCCCCCCGGACTCAGATGCGTGACCTGGAGAAAGTGTGTGGGGCATTGCGACGGAGCGTCGGCGGCGGAACAATGCGCCAACACTGTCACGGCGCCTGCCCCCGCCGTCGCCGCTATTATCTCCGTGGTGCGTTACGTCACGGCCGCACCGGAAATGTCCGCAATCAGCGCGAATACTGTACGGGCCGATCCAGGGACGATCCGGGGTCTTCCGGTGACGGGCGGCTGAGTTTGACCTGTCTCTGAATCCGGCTCAATCAGCACAGGGAGCACGGCCATGCGCCGAGCGCGGCGGGTATTTGTTTTGGTACAGCTCGGCTGAAGTTTCTTTTTCATGGCCACGATTTTTACGCTTAATCACGATTATGTGAGATAAGACTTGCTTGATCTACGCCACGTGAAACAGAAGTCAGAAATCACTGTAGATTTTATCGCGGTTGCAGCAACAGTTGATGTAACACGCTGGTAACTCACGGATCGTTACTTCTCACTGGAAAGAGGCAGGCGATTACGCATTGCAATCAACGAAGCCGAGCGCCGGTGGCACAACATCGTGCAGTTGACGTGGCACAATGTTACACCTCAGCAGGGGCCCACCGCACACCGGCTGCGTAACAAGAGAAAGGCGCGCGCAGTAGGCACTGCAAGTGGCCGTCATAAAACAATTAGAACCCATTTGCCTCATTTAACACAATACAGCTTTGCTCTAAAGAAACAAAGTTGCCCTAAATTACGCACTATTTTGAAGTCGAGGTATTCGCTTCAAAAGGTTATATTAAACTTCAAGTCACAACCCATTTGGTATCGGGTAAATGTGACCTGACTGGTAATGCAAGCAATATGTAAACTCTATGCAAAGCTATGACATGACAATGCGTGTTTTGGTACTTATTAGCCGTTTTCACGACGGCCATCTGGTACACATTTGGTGCACATCTGGTGCAGATCAGGTGCAGATTTGGTAAAATCAGGTTCAGTGCGTCTCTTAGTAGCTATCAGCTAGAATTGCACTAGCTGCTTATATGCCTGCTTTGTCATATTATCAGAGAGAATCATCGATTAAAACACTGAAATAAATTCATGAAATAAAGATATTTTCTGTAAAAGAGATTAGGTGCAGATTTGGTCAAATCAGGTGCACTCGACGGAAAGCCCGTCGTGAAAATGGCTATTAAAGACTTGCTTCTAAAAAGTACCTAGGTACCTATTTTGCGGGACAACGTAAAACTCACCACATTCGTGATTTTTATAGTTCTGAATGACTAAAGAGCTGATGGAATCGGAATATACCGGCTTCCTCTACAAACCACCGCTTCTACGGGAAAGAGAAATGAGAGAGCTTCTATGAGAAAACTCCTACGGGCTCAGCCTTTGACCAGCCATGAACGGCCAACATTTACATACATATATGCAAAGGGTTATATTTGATGCTCATTTGTGAGAAGTCGTGGACGCAATGCTGGAAACGGTACAGTTTCTTGTGGAGGACTTAAAATCCTCTCGCATCTGGAAAGGTAAGTACGGAATACGGACGTGGGCTACTTAGCGAGCGATGAGCGAGACGTTAATGAGCAAGCAAATGTATGTTTTATGGGAAAATCACAGAATAAACGGCCTGTCCTACCCGTCACGATTCGAGAGTCTATCGGCGTGACCACTCGACCGATCTACCAGTGGTCTTTGGTATCAGATGGTCCACTGGCCACCGAAACAGCCCTAGTTTTACCGAACGAATGTAGGTGATTCCGACTCGCACCTCACCATAGAGATACAAAGCGAGTGCCACTATTAAAAGTGCTCAGAAGTGTGGTTTTGCAATATCATGGCAGCAGGTCTGCCGATTTGGCTCAATTTGGGCGTGTGCACTGTGCAGCACACCAACAGGTACACCAAATGTACGTGCTCCTTCAAAGCTCAGCAGAGGGATGCACTCGCTTACGCACATTGCATGCCCCTGCTTTTGTAGTAATAAGCTAGCGCGGCGGATCGCGCCCGAAATTAGTGTGATGGTGGGGTACTGCTGCACATGACGACGAAATTCTAAAAAACGTCTCAATACTAATGACCTCGTCAGTCACATGTGAGGAAGCTAGATCCGTCAGATCCACACATGTCTAGTGGTCACCCTCCACTTCACTGCGTTTCATTGTTTTCACGTCTATGTGACAGCGCCTGTGTGCATAGTTTTGCTTATAATGCCGTCCATGGCCCTATCGACAGCGCCTGTGTGGATAGCTCTGCTTCCACTTCCGCCCAGTACGGTTTATTGTTGTACTTTATCTATATTGCTATTTGTGGTGACGTAGTTTCTGTCTGTTACCGAGGTCGCGACATGGTGCTACGTAGCGCGGGATACAGGTCAGACAGCCGCACCTGGCGCGCTGAAATTTGCGCAACTTATAGAACAAGGATGGACAACGTGCCTTTGAGTGGTCTCAGCTCGATCAGATCGATAGCGAGCGCGTGGCGCGTGTCCAAAAAGTGCAAATTTGCGTCATAGACTTTGCATGTATAAATTGGCTTGCAAAATCGAGCAAAAATGGCTAAATTTGCCCGACACGGGTCCGGTCCCTGTGCAATATCACGGTAACCGTGGACCCGATCGGCACGGGGAAAACAGCATCGTGTAGAGAATCGAACAGGCTATCGAATGGTGTGCGGTGCAGGCGCCACGTGCACATGTGAAGGCAATTTCATATTATTCATTTTTGTGCATTCATTGTTGTTGTTCCTTGTTGTATTTGTGACAGCGTCTGTGTGTCAAGTTTTGCCGTCCAGTGCAGTTTCATTCGTGGCCTGCCTGTGTAAGCACTAGGCAGTTTTGCTTCCATCGTCTTCTAGTGTGGTTATTTTCTTTGCGACAGTGCCTGTGTAGGAAGTTTTGCTTTTAGTGTCGTGCAGTACGGTTGTTTTATTTGTGACAGCTCCCGTGTAGCGTTGTAGGGAGCTTTGCTTCCAGTGTCGTACAAAACGGGCTTCTCAGGCGCGTCCGCCTGTCATGTAGTATTCTCGTTGGCAATCACGAAAAAGACTACCTCGGAAGACCTCCTCGGAACTTCGACGCTACTTGATATTGCACGCACGTCTCTATGTAAGCCTATTGATTTGCCCAGCTGGCAATTCTAATTTTCCTAAGGAAGTGAAAAAGGTGGTGTAAGTTCTTACATCTCTGGCAGTGGTTTGCTGCTCCTCCACAACACTGTTTATTGACTCGGCCACGGGCTCGGGTTCCCTCGAGTTCGGGTTCGAGGCCACACTAGTTTCCTCCACATCCTGCACGTCTGAGACTATAAACTCGCGCACTCCCACACCATCCAGGAACGCCTCGGGCCATGGAAGAGAGAGTGGCCATGTGCCCGCGGGGAGCGAGGGGTAGAAGTCGAGTAGTAAGAACAGAAACTGGCTCCCGCGCTGGTGACTGACCCTAACTATAGAATTGGGATTAGCCGTTTTCACGACGGGCTATCCGGCGAATGCACCTAATTTGACCAAATCTGTACCTAATTTCTTTTACAGCAAATATCTTCATTTTATGAATTTATTTCAGTGTTTTAATCGATGATGCTCTCTGATAATATGACAAAGCAGGCATATAAGCAATTAGTGCAGCCCTAGCTGATAGCTGCTAAGAGACTCACTGAACCTGATTTGACCAAATCTGCACCTAATCTGTACCAGATGTGCGCCAAATGTGTACCAGATGGCCGTCGTGAAAACGGCTAATACCTAGAAACGACCTACTATGTATTTCAGACCCCGTGAGACCCTGTTTTTCGGCGATAATTTATTCAGTTTTTGTCTAATTGGCTTGAAATTTTGACAATAGACATTTCAGCTCAAGCGCCGATTTTCATCAATATGGTCTCTTAACAAAATGTCAATATTTAGAGCACTTGTCATTGGCTCGTGTAGTGTTTGCATGTTGAGTTCATGGTGCTGCCAAATAAAGGTATTTCCCTATGTGGCAGCAATGGCACATTGGTGGCGCGCACGTGACAATTGTGGTACGGTTTTGGCGCCAAGAGTTGACCTCTGGTGACCAGTGACCTGAGGTCAACAGACTGGTCTGGAGTGTGGCTGAAGAAGCATTGATACTGTTGCTATTTATCTTGTTATTAATATACCATGTAATTGTCAAGACTTGATTGTGTCAAGACACTACATAAATTGGCGACGAGGATGTCAAACTAACTCTGATAATTGAGCCAAGGAAGAAGACGGACTACAAGTAGACTGTAGAGTACAAGTGAGGCAAGTGGCTGCAGCTGTTATCGAGGAAGGGAGGTGCGGTAAGATGGACGGGATCCAACCACCACCTGCCTTCCTGCCGGCGGCTGGTAAGCCAAAGGTACCCTGGTCTGGGTGGTATGCTGATTTCGAGGTGTATGCTCTTGCTATTGGGTGGTGTGAGTGGTCAGAAGAACGCCAGCAGGCCTTGCTGCTTCATTGTGTGGGTGCAGAAGCTCGTAGGCTGTACAGGACTAAGCTGCCAACAGGAGGACTTGTGAAGCAGCCCAAAGTTGAAGGTGAGAATGAATCACAGCACAGGTCACTGGCCATGCAGTCATGTAGCATTTTTGAGGAACTATTTGCAGCCAAAAATGACTATATTACTGAGCGTGTGCAATTCAGAAGGTGCGTGCAGGACAGGAACACGACAGTCCAGACGTACCTAGCTAACCTTAGGGAGAAGAGTCAGCGATGTGGATTTGGGGAATTAGAAGATGAGATGATACGGGACCAGTTTCTTGAGGGATGTTCATCAAGTCGCCTGAGGGAGCGTCTTTGTTCAGAGCAGTGCCTAACCTTGACCCGTCTCGAGGAGATTGCAGCAGCAGCAGAAATCACTGCAGAGCGACATACAACAGTCTGTGGCGCCGTAGGGCCAGTTCAAGATGCATTTGAGGATGCCAGTCAAGAGGTGGCAGCGACATCCGGTAAGTTTGGCAAACCGAGATCCCCAGACAATGGCCGTCGGTCGAAGACTTGCTTTGCATGTGGCTTCAGTGGTCACAGGTCGGGCGATAGCCGATGCCCAGCCAGGGAGAGGGAATGCCACATTTGTCATGAAGTGGGTCACTTCGCCAGAGTATGCAGGACCAGATCACAGAGACCGGACACCACGAGAGCCCCACCCGGAGTTTCGACTGTAGAAGTCTCATCAGTTCATGACTTGCTGAGCTTGTCTGGTCCAATGCTTGATGTGGATGTTGATGGCACTCTGCTGGAGATGATGGTAGACACTGGTTCGCCTGTTAGCCTCCTGCCTTTGCATCTGCACCAGGCGAGACTCCCTCAACTGCCACTGCATGCATGTGATGTTGCATTACGAGGATATGGGGGACACAGCCTTGACGTTGTTGGTGTAATCCGGGCCACAGTGACCAGTAACGGTAAGTCAGCTGACGCTGACTTGTATGTGATGAGAGGCGGTACTGTACCTTTGTTGGGGCGTGACTTACAGCTCAGTCTGCAGATCACAGTCAAGAACGGCAATGCTGTGTGTGCCGTGTCACCTGGGAGTCAACCGGAGCTAAGCCAGCCCGGTCTCCCTCCCCTTCGTGGGTTTGTTCACAGGGTAAAGGTGAGGGACGGTGTTTCCCCTGTCCAGCAGAAGATGCGGCCTCTGCCGTACTCAGTCAGGGAGGAAGTGAAGGCACACCTGGCAGACCTGGAGGCAAAGGGTGTCATCGAGAAGGTGGACTCGTCACCTTGGATATCTCCGATGGTGGTCACCAGGCGCCGCACCGGCGGAATCCGGGTATGTCTCGACCTGAAAAAGGTAAATCAAGCGGTCATGCCCAGCAAGTATCCGCTACCTGACATGATGGATATGCTCGATAAGCTTAAGGGGGCTGCAGTGTTCTCGAGCTTGGATATGAAGTCTGCCTTCAATCAGCTTCCACTGCATGAAGAGTCCAGAAATTTGACGGCCTTTATGACACCTGATGGGCTGAGAAGGTACACCCGATGCTGTTTTGGTTTGTCCTCTATCCCGGCAGCTTTCCAGAAGGTGATGGACAACATCTTGGCTGGACTGTCGGGGGTCCAAGTCTACGTCGATGACATCATCATCTTTGGTGAGAACCAGGACCAGCATGATGCTCGTCTTCAGCAAGTGTTGGCCAGGCTAAAGGAGTACCAGGTAACCTTGAACGAGGAGAAGTGCACCTTCAGCACCACATCTCTAGAGTTCCTGGGCTTCACTGTCACGAAGAACGGCTTCAAGGTGAGCGAGAACCGCGTCAAGGGTATGCGGGACATGAAGTCGCCCAGCACGGCTAAACAGCTACAGTCGGCCTTGGGACTGTTCGGCTTCTACGCCAGGTTTGTGAGCGACTTTTCCACACTGGTGGATCCACTTCGGGCCACCCTGAAAGCAGAGCGTTTCCAGTGGACGCAGGAGCTGGAGACTTGTTTCAGGGAAGTTATCTCCAAGATCATCAACAGCTCAGCGCTCACGATGTACGACCCAGATCGACCGACTGTCGTGACATCAGACGCTTCGGATGTAGGCCTCGGAGCAGTGCTGAGTCAGATCTACCCCGAAGGTGAGAGAGTTGTTTCTTTCGCATCAGCCACTCTATCAGACACCCAGAGGAAGTATAGCGTTACTGAGCGGGAGGCCCTTGCGGCCAAGTGGTCAGTTGAGCACTGGCATAAGTATCTTTTCGGAACCCACTTCACCTTGCGGACGGACCACCAAGCCCTACAGTCGCTCTTATCATCAAAGGGGATTGGTAGGGCAGGAATGAGGCTGTCTCGATGGGCAATAAGACTCATGGCGTATTCGTTCAGTGTGGAGCATGTTGGTGGTTCCAGAAATGTTGCAGATGGCCTCTCCAGACTGCCAGCCTCGACACACACCCCAGAGGATGACGACCAGCTGATGGTGGCGGCGATCACTGACAGGATCGCGCGTAAATCTGCGGTAACCAGAGACAGCATACGAGCGGCGGGCGCTGAGGACGAGGAATTGACCAGACTGTGCAGGCAGATCGTGTCTGGCTGGCCAGCTCGCTCGAAGGACTGCCCAACAGACCTGCAGTCGTACTACAGGTTCAGAAATGAGCTTACGGTTGTCGAAGGCCTCATACTCCGTGGCGAGAGAATCGTCGTCCCGTCCGTACTCCGGCAACACCTTCTGGAACAGGCCCACGAAAGCCATCCAGGCATCGTCAGGACTAAACAACGTCTACGGGAACTTTTCTGGTGGCCAGGTATGGACGCGGCAGTGGAGAACATAGTGAAGTCCTGTACAGTATGTGACGCTGTTGATAAGAGTGCGAAGCCGCGCAACATCCTGCTTCAACCGGTTCCCTTCCCGGAGAAACCCTGGTCTAAGTTGGGAATCGATTTCATCGGACCGCTAGAAGGAGGGGGAATAGGTAGAAGATTCGCCATTGTCATGACAGACTATCACTCAAAGTGGCCGGAGGTGGCATTCTGTCCGCACCCCTCATCCCGCGCAGTAATCAACTTCATGGAGACAGTGGCTGCGAGAGAAGGGTATCCAGAGGAGCTGGTATCTGATAACGGCACAGCGTTTACATCTCATGAGTTTACAGAGTATCTGAGTGAAGTTGGAGTCAAACATATTCGGGTCACCCCATACCACCCAAGAGGGGCAGGAGCAGTGGAACGATTTAACCGTGTGCTTAAAGGTGTCCTACAGACAGCTACTCTTGAAGGACAGGACTGGATGGTAGCTGTGAGGCAGTTTCTGCTTCAATACCGGGTGACATCGCATGCCACAACCGGCCGGAGTCCCGCAGAGTTGCTCCGTGGTCGACAGCTACGCACGCCTCTGCGAGCAGCAGCAGATGGTCAGCACTGGTTTGTGACCAATGAACAGGTGAGAGCCAAAGTTGAAAGACAACAGGCTAAGCAAAAGTTATACTGGGACACAAAGTTCAGCGCTAAAGAGAACTGTTTCAAAGTTGGAGACTATGTACGCTACAAACTGATGCCTAAGCCCAGGAAGGGATGCTCCAAGTTCTCAAAGTCATTGGAGATTGTGGAGGCTAGAGGTTGTCATTCCTTCTTGCTGAGTGATGGTACCCTGGTGCATGGAGAACGTCTAGTTCGCTCAAGTGCCTTGTCTGAAAGTGCAACCCCTCTGGCAGGAGCGGACATGGTGGAAGGTGTCGAAGCAGTCTGCAAGGATGGTTCATCTACCGCGGACCAGCCATCGAGGATGATGGCAGGAGCCTCACAAGAGAAGATGATGCGACCTCCAGCAGCAGAAGTAACCCCGTCGGGCGGCAGGATCGAGGAAGTCCCTTCAACAGGGGACGTGTGGAACAGGAGTGCAGCATCGGAGGTGTCGGGTGATCAGCAGAGTGATGACCCTGCGCCTGAGCGTAGATCGGGTAGAGAAAGGAAACGGCCCAAGAGGCTCATTGAGGAGTGTGGTTGATGCGTGATACTGTGATTGATGCATAAGGTGATGGGCACATTGTAATGGTGTTTTCCGTTGGCATTCATTACTAGTTTCTTGCTTGTAATGGCGTTTTCTGTTGGCATTCATTACTAGTTTCTTGCTTTATTTCTAAGGGAAGGGGAATGTAGTGTTTGCATGTTGAGTTCATGGTGCTGCCAAATAAAGGTATTTCCCTATGTGGCAGCAATGGCACATTGGTGGCGCACACGTGACAATTGTGGTACGGTTTTGGCGCCAAGAGTTGACCTCTGGTGACCGGTGACCTGAGGTCAACAGACTGGTCTGGAGTGTGGCTGAAGAAGCATTGATACTGTTGCTATTTATCTTGTTATTAATATACCATGTAATTGTCAAGACTTGATTGTGTCAAGACACTACAGCTCGTAATGCTAATTAGATTTTGCACCCGGATAGAGGCTCGTTCGCTACCGCAGCGGATTGGATGGGAGCGCTGGCCAATCACGTTGCGCCGGGCCCAACTAAGCTCCGCCCACTGGCCGTGACCGCGCTGGGTCTATGCAGGCTCAGTCGGCGGCAGCACCGCGGAGAGGTCGCACGGGGGCCGTGCACTGGAGACATACATGGAATCGACAGGAAGTGCCTGAGCGAAAGCTCGCTCTTCATTTGGGGGAGTTGGTAACCGCTTCTCTCTTTTTGGTATATCAACACCGATCCAGCTCAGAATATGAAGAATAATCAAAATGAGGATATTTACCTCCCCAGAACCAACATTAAATAGAGAGCTGAGTCATGCACTATCTGAATATCTGAATGAATGCACAATCCGGCGCCTACCTCATGGTCATTGGTCAGGTCGTGCCACTATTCTGTCACCTATGACATCATGCGAAGCCTCTGCACTACTCGAAAATATCGATATGGTTGGCTGCGTCAATTGCTGTTTCTGAAGACGCTGTTATACCAGTAACGGCGGAACACCTTCAATTAAAGGGAGATAATGAGCTTTCTTTTTTCTTAAATAAAAATTACTCGACATCTATACTATTTCTACTGTAGTTTCTATAAAATATGAAAATTTCCTAGCACATTTTCGTATGTGAAAAAGGTTTTTATTATTGCAAAAAAGAAGCAGTACTTGCAGTACTTGTAGGTAACACCCACCGAAATGCGTTGTCCTTCTCTATAAAAAAGTCGCAGTATATGGCGCTTTTGTTTCAAACAGCGACGCTTGGGTTTTTGTTTATGTTATCGCCTTGTCGTTGCTTGGTTGTAAGGATTCTAATTTGAATTAGAGTTAATTCGGTTTAGAATTAATTATATTCTAATTCGGGGGTACATAGTGCCTACTCTTCTTTGTTTCGGCATGCGGCATGCGGCACAAATGAACGGCATGCGCCAGAAACGCAGCCAAATCTTGCGATTGCGACTACGAAAATCATTATTTTGGCGTCAGAGCCTGAAGCGAAAAATACAAGCATATTTATTTCAAAAAGACTTCAGGTTTGTCGAACGGTGTTATGAGAATTTTGATAACAGTACTGCATAAGTTTTTCAGTGATGCCGCAAAAGTGTTGTATCTATCTTCTTTTATTGTGCAGTCGGCGGGACCGATTCAAAATTGAGTCGTTGCTACTAAAATAGCAGCATATGGCGTCAGATGATGAACAGGAAAAATAGTTGCGTAAATTTAGACATAAACCACCCCCAAACCATGAATATCTTTTGAAGGCACTATATACGACCATTAACTAACTAGATGTGATGAAGATCAAATGTAAGGAATACGCTCATTTTACAAAATTACATGCAAGTACCAAAAAGTGATGTAAGTATATGGGTTAATGGTATGAGTTAAAATAATACTTTTAGTTTTAAGTTTTATTTGCAGTTAGAAACAAGACCTTTTGTATTTTGAAGTGATTCTGAATATCTAATCTTTTTTTTACATTTTCGCTGAACCAAAATTACAATTACACTTACAGCACAAACTCAAGTATTGTGTGCACCTCCGCTCAGGGATGTGGGTCGCCACAGGTACTTCCCCACCTAGAACGGAGTTACGTAGTGTGCTGACATTGTGCCAATCAACGTAACACGTCATAGATAACACAATCTGAAAAAATCACAACTACAGCATCGTTTTTCTGGGTTCCACCTCAGCTAAATATAGTCGCTGGATCCACTCTGAAACGAACCCTTCTTCCACTTCTGGTACGTGGTGACTCTGCTTCCGGCACGACCTCTGGAGGGACCGATTCTGCTGGACCGGGCTCAGCGGCGCTGCTCGGCTGTGGCTGCTCCTGCTCCCTGTCCACCAGCCGCCGGGTGTCGTCATGTCGCGGGAAGTAGGCGGGCTTCAGTCGGTCCACTGATACAGTGTCTATCGCCCCAGACGGTAGTTCTATGCGAAAAGTCTTTGCTCCTCTGTGAGCTACACGTAGCGGTCCCTGGTATGGAGCTTGGAGTGGACGTTGGATCCTGTCCACTCGGACCCACACATGCGTGCATGTCATTAAGTCCTTGGGAATGTGCTCCTGGACAGCACCGTGATCGGTTCCGAGGGAGGCCGTGGTGAAATCCAGTTCCGTCATATGCTGGGCCAGCTCCTGGATCATCTTGAATGAAGAACGTGTTGAAGACTGTTCTCCTAAGCACAGTTTTGGACAGAGCAGCATGCCACCTGTCACTGCTGTGAACGGTGAGGCACCAGACTCGTTTGGCATTGCACGCAGACCCAAGAGAATTATTGGGAGTGACTTCAGCCAGTCTTCCTTCCGCGCTTTCAGTGCTGTCTTTAGTGTGCGATGAAATCTCTCAATCATTCCATTACTTTGCGGTCTGTAGGCGCATGTCCGGAGGCGATGAAATCCTATCATTTCAGCCAGAAGTTGGAAGAGCTCGGCTTCAAACTGGGCTCCACGGTCAGTTACCACGTAGAGAGGGACGCCGAACCGTGCAATCCAAGTCTCGAGGAGCGCGTTCGCTACTGATGTGGCAGTGATGTCGGTAATGGGCGCGACCTCTACCCATCGGGTAGCGCGGTCGATGCAGGTGAGTAGATACCGATGTGTCGCCGGGAACGGTTGCCCATGCTGCGATGAAGGTGGTAGCGGTCCAACTATGTCGATGTGCACCGTTTCAAAACGTGATGATGGCAGGTGAAACTCTCCAGTTGCGGTCTTCGTGTGGCGATGGACCTTGGCTTCTTGACAAGCCACACATTCCTTCACCCACGTCTTGATCTGTCGATCCATGTCTGGCCAGAAGTATCTTGCCTTGATGAGCCGAAGTGATCCTTTCAGACCAGGATGTGAAAGATTGTGATACCTCTCGAACACACTTCGTCGACATGACAGCGGAACGAACGGCCTCGGCTGTGGCGTAGACACGTCACAAAGCACTGAGGAGTCATTCTGCAGCGGCACAGTTTTGAGGCGATCCTGGTATGTTGCGATTTCTTCGTCCTTCTTCTGTTCCTCGGCGATGGCTGGGAGGTCACAGGCGTCAACCTGAACGGCGTTCACAGGGCGCGAAAGGCAGTCTGCGACGATGTTGTCAGCGCCCCTGATGTATTTGACGTCTGCGATGTACTCGGTGATGACGCACCAGTGTCTTTGCTGTCGATCTGACTTCGCCACATGAGGACTGTGGAAGGCTGTGACTAGGGGCTTGTGGTCTGTAAAGAGCGTGACGTTCCGCCCTTCGAGCAGGTCTCGGAAGTGCAGCGTGGCGAGATAGGCAGCCAGCAGCTCTCGGTCGTAGGCTGAGTACTTGCGCTGCGGTGCAGACAGCTTCTTTGAGAAAAAGCTCACCGGTACTGCACTGCCGTCGACCATCTGATGAAGGGCTGCACCAGCAGCGACTTGGGAGCAGTCTGTGACAAGCTGGAAGGTGTCGCTGTTTGGCTGAGTGTGGTGGAGAGTGCAGGCGGCCTCCAGTGCTGTCTTGATGCCGTTGAAGGCCTTGGCTTCGCTGTCGCCCCACGGTAGTTCCTTCGACTTGGGGTACAAGCGCATGAGCTCGGTCAGTGGGAAGACGATCTCCGCAAAATGCGGAATCATTCGCCTGTGGAAGCCGACCATGCCCAGGAATCTGCGTAGATCATCCGACTTCTTCGGCGCGCACATTTCTGAGATGCTCTCCACCTTGCTCTTTGGAGGACGAATTCCAGTTGATGTCACCAGCTGTCCCAGGTAGGTGACTTCTGGCTGGTCAAACTCGCACTTGTCTAGTGAGATGCGAAGGTTGTGCTCGTGCAAGATGCGGAACACTCTCTCCAGGTCCGCATGGTGCTGTTCTTGGGTCGCAGATGACACAAGAATGTCATCGAGATAGATGAACACGCAGCCCACGTCGCGGAAGATGGTGTCCATGATCCTCTGGAATGTGGCTGGAGAGTTGCAGAGGCCCATTGGCATGAATATGTATTCATACAGGCCGAAGGGCGTGGTCACTGCAGTCTTCTCGCTGTCCGCTGGGCTCACTGGTATTTGGTGATATGCTCGGAGCAGATCGATCTTGCTGAAGCGCGTTTTTCCGGCGAGCTGTGTCGACAAGCTTTGAATGTGAGGTAGAGGGTAGCGATCCCTCTTCGTGATCGAGTTCAGGGCTCGGTAGTCCCCTGTGACGCGCCATTCACCGGGTGTCTTCTTCTCCACCATGTGCAGAGGAGAGGCCCATGGAGACTTTGAAGGCCGCACCACCCCAGTTTTCAGCAGTGTGTCAAAACACTGTTTGGCGGCTTTGAGCTTGTTTGGTGGCAGTTGTCTCGGTGACGCAAATGTCGGTGGTGCACTGCCTGTGTCAATGGTGTGACATCCTGGCAGCTGTTTCATTGCCCCCTCCAGGTCACCAGGCTGGCATGGCTCTAGCACTGAGCGGTGTCTTTCCAGGATGTTCTTGATCGGAGCTGAAACTGTAGACAGGTCGTTCACCACCAGGTTGGCCTTCGATTGGTTACTGACTCGGCACTGTGATGACAAATCAGTAGATCTGTCAATCAAAGTCCGGGTACCGCAGTCGATCAGGAGTGAGTGCTGACTCAAGAAGTCTTGACCCAGCAGTGGTGTAGTGACGTCAGCCACCACGAAGGTCCATGTGAAGGTGCGGCGCAGTTGAGAGATTGTGACATCACATGTGACTTCTCCCACAACATGAAGAGACTCACCGTTTGCGGTTGATATTCGCACTGCTGAAGGCTGCAGGATAGAGCCCACCGGGACGGTTTTGGGCAGGAGGGAAACACCTGCTCCGGTGTCAATGACAAAATCAACTGATTTTTGGCCAAGTGTTGCTGCTACTTGCATGAGTGGCAGTCCATGAGCAGCATGAACTGGGATCTGCCCCTCTAGTTTCCCGACTGGGACGGCCTCGGTGAGGAGGAGCGAGAACGGGGTTGCATCTTGGTGTGTGCTTTATCAGGCCACTGACACCACGGCTTGCATGTGCGCGCTTCCACGCTAAAGTAAATGTGCGCTCGGCAGACCTTGGGGCGCTGTCCTTCACGGAACGGCTGAAGTCCTGCTGACACACCCTCTCGATGGTCCCGATCCGGATAGGGACTGCGCTGTCGCGAGCTGTATCGCTGTCCGGTACTGTGCTGTCTCGATGGGCGCGTGTGTCCGTCTGAATAGTATGCGCCGCGGTCCGACTCATAGCGCTCAGATGGTGACGGTGACCGTGCTCGTGACTGCCGGCTACTGTGAGGTTGTGCCACCATGCACGAAGACTGCATCAGCGGCACCAGCTCATCAGCTAGTTGACCTAGCTGTGTCAGAGTCAGGTCACGCTGGGCTGCCAGCACGGCACCAACGGAGGGCGGCAAGCTCTTTATCATCTTGTGGCGCACGAGGTCTTCACCAACCCCGACTTTGCACGCCGTGTCTCGGAGCTCATGCAGGAATGCTGATGGACGTCCGGTCATCTGTGTCTTGCTTATAAGACGCTCGAATAGCTCCGGCTTCGATTGAGCATACAGACCGATCACGGCTTGTTTCAGGTCATCGAATGACGTTTTGGAGAGTACGTCTGGGTCGAGGCGGCTGACCGTATCAGGAGGAAGGGCCGCCAGAACATGGTAGAACTTGGACTGAGTGCTTGTGATGCGAGCCAGGTGAAATTGTGCATTCATTATGGCGAACCAACCTTCGACGGCTGTGTCCATGAACGCCGGCGGCTTTACGTTAGAAAGCATCACGGAACCTGCAACCTGTTCCGGTTCTCCTTCCATTGTTGCTGTTGTGGGAATACCTATTCACTATGAACTAGGAATAGTATTAGGCAATGTGGCAATGTAAAAATCACGTTGGGGTCACCAGTTTATGGGTTAATGGTATGAGTTCAAATAATACTTTTAGTTTTAAGTTTTATTTGCAGTTAGAAACAAGACCTTTTGTATTTTGAAGTGATTCTGAATATCTAATCTTTTTTTTACATTTTCGCTGAACCAAAATTACAATTACACTTACAGCACAAACTCAAGTATTGTGTGCACCTCCGCTCAGGGATGTGGGTCGCCACAGGTACTTATTCAACGGTCATTTTCAGCGCTCCCCGCTAACGTGACTTCAAGTTGAGATATTTGCGGCAAGGTACCGAATTGAGCAAAATGGTTTTAATTTACATTATAACTTGTTGTGTTTTGTCAGAAAATGGTCCTAACTCAGATTTTGTGGAAAAAGGTCATTATCTCCCTTTAAAGGGGGGCACTGCCGACTTTTGGTCCCATTCTTTCCATGCAACGCCCATAGGGCTAATGTTAAAATGCCAAAATCAAAGAGGGGCACGGTGCCCCGGTGCCCTCCCCGTTCCGTGTTATACCTAACTATGCAGAAAAAAAACAGAGCAGGATTATTAGTCGCGAGCACTTCCAATTGCCTCAGACATCGCTCCACGAGCTGTGTTCGTTATTCGGGAAGCGTTGAGAAGGGAGCAACCATGCGCAATAAATCGCACATCGGATGTGCGATTTATTGCGCATGGTAGAAATGTGACATCAGAATAAGGGAAACAAGCGCATAGTCTAGTAAAGAAATCGCGTCTTTTTGTGAAAGTAAAGCGATAGGCGTTATCACAAGTGTATTCGCGGCCATTGGGGCGACGTAAGAAAAGAAGAAACCAACTGGCCCCAAGAACTTTAAATTATCAGTTAGCATGCACCTTTTCCTTGATGTGTAGAGAATTTACCATTATTTGTTATAGAAAACTGCATTTAAAATCTTCCATTTATGCTTTTTTCATCGTTTGCACAATATGTTCTTTTACTAAGCTAGAAACACTAATTAGAAATAGTTCCCGCATCTTCAAGAACAATAGGGAAGGCTTGAAGTGAATAAAATAATTTAAACGGTTTGGTAATCTATGTGAAGGCACTTCTAAAATTGCCTGTAGAAATATTGAAGGCAAAAGTTCAACTTTGTCACAAGACGGATGTCTATAAACCTATTTAACTTATGACAACTCAGCCGGTATTTCGTCGCCTACAGCCCAGCTTTCCCTAGTGACCGATAGAGGCGCTGCTATCGATGTCCGCCCGTGCCGCCTAACGGTAACATTTCAAGGTCTCCAATAGTGAGGCAGTAGGCTACTTGCTTACAGGTATCTTAATTATTTGCAGTTCAACACGAAAGCCTGGGGTCAAGTCAGTCCGGTGACCTCAATCTAGCCAATTATAAAATGGGCTAGTTCTGAAGGTGTTCAATCACATGAATCCATCTCAAGCATACGCATAAGCATAATATATTTCATATTTTAACCACACTTCTTAAATGCTACGGTGTAACTGTTTACCATGTCTTAAAAATTGGACGTAGGCTGGCCGACGTCTTGCATCAGTTCACAGTCAATTGACATCAACGGCCTTTTTTAATGACGTTCAATCAAGCAAAAATGCAGTCACTAGCACTGAACTTAGTATTAAAGTAGATATATCTTTATTGATTGACAAGGTGCAGGTTAATTTGCGATAAATGCAATACCGAAGGCTAGTGCGCTAATAACGAGCGCTAGTTTCTGCTGTATCGTTATAACTGCAACGGCAACCGCAAGGCAGCCACGTCCAATGCGAGCCGCCCCGGCGCGGTCCGGCATACGGCCTTGGGTGCGGCGGCTACTGCCCCGTCGGCTCCACGCATCCGACTGACCGGCCAAGGTCACCGCTCCGTCCGCCGGGAGGGCGGAGCTTAATGGTCACGTGCCTGTGACGTCACGACTACGTACGGATAGCCTCTACTCCACTGACGGATTTACGGAGCTGATTTTAACATTACGAGGCAACGACAAGTACCCTAACAATTGATATTTTGTTAAGAGACCATATTAGCGAAAATTGGCGCTTGAGCTGAAATGTGCTGTGCGAAAATTTGAGGCCAATTGGATAAATATTAAATAAATTATCGCCGAAAAACAGGGTCTCATGGGGTCTGAAATGCATAGTAGTCACCTAATATCGTGCTATAGGTAAGTGATTATTCCTTATTATCGATTATTGTTAAGTTTATAAGGCGATTGCTTTGAGGGTGAGCCGTGAGGCCTTTTCTTGATAAGCAGATAAGTTGAAAAACACATACGTTTCGATCACGATTGTATTTAAATAAATACTGAATAATTTAAATCGCTTCATCCTCCAGCACACACATACAGGTAGGCAGTCAATGGCATTTATGAAGAGTGATTGAGCACATGACTTAAACAAACGATAAGAAGACAACGGACTCAACAAAACAAAGACATGGGGACATTACACAAAAATACAAGACAAATGAGAATATCAGGTACACAGAGACGTTGGACAATAACTGTGAGGACACGGGACACGGACTGTGAGGACACGAGACATGGTCACGGACTGTGAGGACATAACACAACGGACTGTGAGGACATAATACAACAAACTGTGAGGATATAATACAACAGACTGTGAGGACAAAATACAACAGACTGTGAGGACATAATACAACGGACCGTGAGGACATTTAATACGGTTTGTGAGGACACAGGACACGGACTGTGAGGACACAGGACACATACAACGGGGACAACAGATAGCACTAACGGTGAGAACGATGCCACGGCTAGACGAGAACAGACGGCTCCTGGGTGCCGTTAACACATGACAAGAGACATGTTGTACACTTTTGCTGATTGGGTTAATTATAACAACAAACGCAACAAGGAACAGGAACTATACCTACGGTTCGAGCTATGTGCCGAGTTAGGCAATGCAAAAATGTGCCAGTGGGGTTATGGGGACGGGATGCTACGACAAACTACGGAAGCTAATTAATATGCGTGGTTATGTGGGTGCAAACCGGTGAGCAGATGTGGCATTATCAATTACGGTACAACTGAGCCTTGTGGAACAACAAACGAGCACACAAAACACATCACATGCTACAATCAACACAAGGACAACGATTATAGACGTGCGGACATCAACAAACAGCAAAACGGATAGAACAAACAGTAATAAATAACAAACAAAAAAACACGTAACAAAGCAAGCGTTTGCATCTGAAGCATGAGCACAAACTATGCCAGACGCCTAACCAACAACTGGGACAAAACAAACCGTCAACAATGTAACAATCCGTGTCAAGGCCGACACGCATGACGACAGAGTGTAACATCGGAAAGTGTGAGCGCAAGGAAGCACTGTCGATATAAATTCCCGCTCGCTGTCCACCATTGGCACAAACAGATAACAAGACCTCTGGCGGAACAGCTGTCGTTCGAGCTGGCTGTAGCGGGTTACAGACTCCGCATTCAGACAGACTGGTAAGTATGGTAACCGAGAGAGAGAGAGAGAGAGAGCCGGTCACTCAACCGGAATGAACACTCGCCCATCCGTGAGAACAGAGCCAGAGAGAAGACGATGGGTGTGACATTAACAGGGAGCGGGTGCTGGTGGCTCTCCCCAGCGAGGACGACCTGCCTCCTCCGAGATCCGACCTCAGTCGTCCGACCTGCCACCTGCCCGGGCGGGAGGCGCCGGCCCGGACGGTCGGGTCTGGCCCCCGCCGACCGATGCGCCGTCACTAGCCTACGACAGAGAGGTAGGCGGCTCACACCTGAATAGCTTCTCGCACTGGCCCTTGCTGTAGCCACCGGTGGCAGCCTTCTTCAGCACTCGTGCGTTGCTCTGCATCGAGAGTGGCACGTAGGTCTCCGCCAGACTGAGGGACAGAGCCGACGGTTAGATAGTTGGTGGCACTGAATGCACAGGGACAGGCTGCCGACACAGCTATATAAGAAATTAAACAATAAACGGTAGCAGTGAAAAAAACGTATTGTCATCTTGAAGTCTGAACCCAATATCCCGAGCATCGACACGGAAAAGGCACTGTCGCTGGGCGGAGTCTGCAATGGCAAACGATAATTGTTTACTGCAGGGGCGTCGGCCCAAAATTGACAAAAAAGGTCTGTAGAATGCGTTAAATGCAATAAAGCTATAGCTTCAAAAATGCACAATAATTGCATCGATAATTATCATTTTGGCAACGATTGCTGGCTGGCTGCGCGGAAAAGTACCAGCATTGCTCTGTCCGAGTCAATTTTGAGCCGACGCCCCTGCAGTAAACAATTAACGTTTGCCATTGCAGACTCCGCCCAGCGACAAACACTGTCGGTGGGACGAGAAAGTGCGCTCCGTCTCCCGTTCGGGGCGGGCCATTATAAACTGGGGTGTTTTCGCCCTGAACTGCTCCATTTCACAGTGGAATACTAACGAGCCGCGCCCGGAGAGCAGCGGTCCGGCCGCCGGGCGGCGCGGCGGGCCGGCCGGCGGCGTCGGCACACCGTTAGGTGGACGCTCGGCGGTCCGACGTCCGTCCGTGCCTGCCCGCCTCTGACCCACATCGGCGGGCAGCGCCGGCGGCCCGCCGCGCGGCCGTTCCCACCTCGCACCGCCATTTCACGGTAGAGCAGAACGGTCTGCATCCTGATGGCCCTCAACCAGGTCATGCAACGCGACCGGGCTCTCTCCTCTCTTTCTCCCCCTCTTTCTCTCTCCCGTGAACCTCCATCTGTCTCTCTCACTGACCCTTCCACAGTCTCATTTGCACAGCGACGGCCTATGCGGAAGTTTGCGTTCCAATTTAGAAGTTTGTATGCATTAACCTCTCATTATCAGCTTCAATGCCATCTCAATGAGTATGTTTGCGTTAGTCAATGTAGCAAATCGACTGATAAGCGTCATGACCTTCCCGGCAAAGCAAGGTTTCATTATATCGCACACTGAATAGGCTAAAGAAACTGGCTATTTTTTCGAAACCTTTAAGACTAAGCCAAACATCCAGCCTCTATATGTAATGTCGCCGGCAATTTGGCGGTAACGTCAATCTCGAGAGATGATTTGTTCTTGACCTAACTCAACATGACTAATATTTTCCTAATGCACTTCTCAAAGTTTTCGAGTTCCCAATAACCAGCGATTCCCGATAACCAGCGATTCAGCAGTCGAAATTTCGTCGACGGAGCGGCGTTGGTATACAAATCACCAAACACGCTATCACTTTATAACGGCAAAGGGAAGAGGTGCAATATGAACCTTAAAAAGAAGCATTGGCATGTTCCGGAAATTAATAAGCCTACCACGTCGCAGTCTCTCACCTGAGCAGAGTCTCCTTTCCGGGGAAGTTGTAGGTGCGCCCCAGGGTGCCGAGGTCGCAGAGCGCGCGCGGGATGCACTCCTCCGACTCCAGCACGTCGATGTACATGTAGAAGATGCGCTCCAGCTCACTGCGCCACTCGGTGAGCTTCTCCAGCGCCGGCGAGTCATCGTTGCTGCGCTTGTTGGTGTTGGTGTAGATCATGCCGACGACGGCAGCGATCAGCAGCAGGATACCGCCGATCACCACAATTGGCAGGATGATGGATCCGAGGGTGCCGAGCAGGCCCGGCCCGCCGCCGCCGCTGCTCACGTGGTGGACAGGGTAGCGGTGTGGCTTCTCCTGCACCGGGTAGTAGTAGTAGTAGAGGTTGCCGGTCGAGCCGCCGCCGTAGGTGGTGCTCGGCGCGCTGTAGGACGAGCTCACCGGAGCGCTGTACGAGGACGACACAGCTGACGCGTAGCCGCCGCCGCTGCTGCCGTGGCTGCTGCTGCCGTGACTGCTGCCGTGGCTGCTGCTGCCGATCGAGGCGTACGAGCTGCCTCCCGAGTGGTCGCCGTGACCTCCGCCGCCATGACCCCCTCCGTGACCCCCGCCGTGACCTCCGCCGTGACCGTGTGAGCCGTCACGGGCCTGCGCGGGGATCGGGGCCTTGGCGAGCCTCGACGACGCCTCCTCGGCAGCGGCGGCCGAGACCAGGCCGGTCACACACACTATAACCAACAGCCCCCTCATCCTGCGGGAAATATACACAGAGGCTGGTCACACACACTATAACCAACAGCCCCCTCATCCTGCGGAAACAAACAGAGTCACACAGCACAACCAACAGTCCCATCGGCTCTAATACCATGGAGGGCAAGAGACGGTGAGAGGTCGCACTGTTCACATGCCACTCCCGGGGTGTGTCGGAGGGGGAAAAGAGGGTGTTTAGTCCACAATGGCAATGCTGCTGTACCCGAGGAACTTGTCTTTAGTTAAGTAATTAAATTAATTTGGCGTAATTTGTGGTAGTTAGAACGAAATTCATTCCAAATTGTCACCTATGTTTACGTGATTACCTATGAAAAGCAGACGAATGAATGCTTGCATATGTGCAAACAAAAATCGAATGCATCCCGTGGATCCCTGACCTCAGAATGAACAAACCATTTGGAAATACTTGTGTTCGGTGACCTCGAGCGACCTCGAATGACCTTTGGTCAACGCATTCATTAAAACGGTTCTGATCATGCATGACGTAGCGGCCGGTCGTTATTCGCTGGATACCGTAACGGTTATGTCGGTCAGCCGTTGCAATACCATTAGCAAGGGTTCATTACATTAGCATCAACAGTTGAACGGGCATGCTTGAGCTACTGCGTGGCGGGAAAGTTCATCGACTGGGTAGGAAGATATCTATTCTCTCAAATTAACAAGAGACCTTGTCTCAACAACGCGATATAAAAATCAAATGGATAGTTCGATGATGACCTTACCTATTGGAACCTGAAATGCTAAGTTATATGCGCAAAATATTAAATGATTATTTGCTATTAACCCGCACCATACTGGGAGGAGGTGCGGGTATGGGGGCTTCAACATTCCCAATAAATAACAATCATGAGCAGTTTTGACTTTACCTATCACGTATTTTCTGCACGAGTTGTTGTTAATACGGTTGTTTGAGAATGGGTATGTTGTTTTCGTGTCAGTACTGTGTCATATATTTGCACCCGCGACCCCATGCCAAACTTTTGCGTCACCTCGATGAAAACCTCGATGGGGCCTCGTTTCATATAGCGAGTCCGATAACTTACGCCAGTTTTTGGTCTTGTATTGCAAGCGCATGTGAAGCGATGACGATAGTTTGAATCGTTGAATTTATTTATCTTGCAAGCAAGAACAGAAGGGAGAAGGGGAAATCAATTTATCGTTTCACATGCGCTTGCAATACAAGCCCAAAAACCGGCGTAAGTTACAGACTCGCTTTATGAAACGAGGCTCATGTGACGTCGCAAAAAATCAGCACGAGCTTTTCGAAAGTGAGTTTTAAAGTGGAAAATCAGAGTAGAGAAATAACATTGGAGGTGCTCATCTCAATCATGCGGACTTGGTCTGCAGCCTCACCCGGTCATGAACATGACATAGAGGCCACATTTTAAGTAAACTTTTTGAGTAAACGTAAAAAGCAGATAACTCTAATGATCTAGATTTTGCCCTCACTTAAAACTTGCCAAGGTGTTTTTAAATGCGTTTTGGAGACATTTCAAAAGCGGCCCACCACTTGTCACTCCGTAAGCCTGACGTCGAAATAGTGAGGGACGTTCAAAAGCTCGCCACCCCCGTAATACGTGGAAATCCAAAGCCCCTGTGAGTCGCGGGATTAAAAGCACAGCACAACAAAACAAGATGAATCTGTTCCTTAGAATATCGTCGGCAAGGGATCGAGAGCAGAAATCGTTGATGACATTCTCAATTATAATGTGAGTTCATAAAACGTATAAGAAAAAATGAATTACACAGCTTCGCGAAAGTAAGCGACATCGAGGAAGAGAAAAAATATTTGAGAACATGCCTCCAAAGCGTCCACTCATGCCTTTCTGGATCGGGCAGTTACAAGTCTCTTTGCTTTTGCCAAATTTATGCCAGGTTAGCATGCTTTCCGATAACTGAAACAAAAACTCAGCAAAAAGTCTGTTCTTAGACTGACGTTTTTAGTCTGACGCTACTCAGCGAAGATTAATGCTGTTCATGGTCACTACCTACCGTTTCCAAACAAATGCTAATAATGTTACGGTAAGTGCCGTGCACACTACACAATACATCATTATAACTCTTTTGTTTTTTTCTTTTTTAAGCGTGACTAATGGACAAACACTGTGTAGTTTACAACTGAAGGACAAGCATTGAAATCGACCTTCATATTTATAGGTCATGAAAGTATGATTATCTTGCAGCCTTTGCTTATACCATCTGTCGCAAGCTTGGACAATTTTGAGCATTTTAAGGTATTTTTTGGGCATTAAATCACGTTAACTACGGTAGCAGAACTGAAGCACGACTACCCCCACCGCTCACCACTCCGGACATACGATGGCACGGCGGTGTCGAAAGCAGCGCCTCGCCATTGTACGGAACACTGCACACCGCATTGGGAAATGTCTCGCACTGGACTGATTTCCACAACGATTTCTTGTAGTGATATCCATCTTCCACACACACACACAATCAGCACCTGATGTTCTCGCAAGGATGCACTGTCATGATTGTGAATTGATGAACCAATGAGCACCGATGAGTCGCTACTCACCTAGCTACCTAGCTGGACGGCTCCCCGACTAGCAGTGTCGCTCTGCATGCAATGATGCACCATTTATACGGGCCTGGAGCTGCGGCCGGCAGCGAGAGTGCCTCGGCGCCGCCCGAATCGCGGCCAGGTGCCGCTCAACCGACCGCGCCTCACCGCTCCATGAGAGCGACGCGCTCCTACCGACACCACTGCACGCGCCGGACGCCGCGCCTCCGCGCCGACCGACCGCACGAAAAAAATGCGCAATTGCAAGGGCGCTTGCTTGAGGCCTTGCATACATTTGGGAGACAAAAAGAGCAAAAACAGACTCAAAAGTTACCGTGAATAGTCCTGCATGCATGATAACCTTTAACAACTATGACAATTTGCATTATTTTGCAATGCATCACCTGGGTTTCAGGATTGCAAAGTTCTGCAAATGCAGCCCGGTATCGAGTTGTTGCCATTTTTTCCGCCGCGCTGAAGCCGCGGCGAGTGTCGTCGGCCGCGTTTCGGCAGCGTGCAGGCGGCGGCGGCCGGCCATTTGGCTGGCCGGTAACGGTACACGATGGCGGTCAGGTCGGGCCGGCGCCCCGCACTCCATGGCAGGGCAGCTGACACACAGCCACAGGCCTGGCCTCTCACGGACGTCGTTCCGTGCAGCTGCAGGGGAGGCTGCAGTGACTGAGGTCCGTACAGGGGCAGCAGAGTGCAGTGACACTGCACATCTGCAACAGCTGCAACCACATCCACACAGGGACAGCAGCAGTGCAGCGACGCGCCACAGCTGCAGGGGAGACTGCGGTGATAAGGTTCCTACAGGGGCAGCAGCAGTTCAGTGACATGCACAGCTTTGGGAGAGTCTTCTCTGCAGGGAAAGAGGTCCGTACCAAAGGGGCAGCAGCAGTTCCGTGACATGCACAGCTGCAGGAGAGTCTTCTCTGCAGGAACAGAGGTCCGTATAACCTAAGGGGCAGCTGCAGTTCAGTGACATTCACAGCTGCAGAGGAGTCTGCTCCCACTCTGCAGTGATAGGTCTCTGGGCATGAGCTGCAGTGCAGTGACACAGCAGAGATGGTACAGGGTCCATCTCGCATTGACAGAGGTCCTACAGGAGCTCAGCCGCATGAGTGCGGTGGCAGAGGTCCGCTGACACAGCGGCAGCTGCATTGCAGTGTAGCGACAAGAGTCTACTGACACATGGGGTAGCTCAGCAGTGCAGTGTCACTCGACAGCTGCAACAGGGTCTGACCCGCACTGGTAGAGACCCCTGCAGAAACAGCTGCAGCGCAGCGACCCGCAATGACTACCGCTCAACTAAGCAGGAACTGTATCCTGCTTTGAAAACATTGAATACACGATTCCGACACCACGAAACGTCAACAACTTGTGTGTGCTGACGCACATACCTAACTATAATTCTGACTAGGTACTTCCTGCCCTCTCAAAATGATTGGCCATGGCCTAAAAAATGAGTAAGTACGCGTAAGCCGTTTAGCCGTACCTACATATAATTACTGTTGAGTCTGGGCTTACTCCGGGACGAATTCACCTGTGTCACTCTATAGTGAAGACAGAGTCATTTTTAGCAGTCCTCTCTGACTCAGCAACTCAGTTCCAACTTCGGCAACGAAGCAAAAATGACAGGCTTTTTATTGAATTTAGAAGTGCCCCTGCACTCTAAAACTGGTCTGCAATATTTTGTGTTACAAAACATGTATGCATACGTATCAATTTTTGCAATAAGTCTTCGTAATAAAGATTTTCATACGTGCTCAAATCATGCCTAAGCTCTCATGAGCATCATGAGTCGGCAATCTATTAACGAATGCAGGTGTGCCTCGTTTAGCAAGGAGCCGTTCAAATTTGCCCACGGGCCTCCTTCGCTGGTGCCGGGGCGCGCCCAGGAAACGGATCCGCCCGCCGCGGGTGATTTTGGCGAAAGTCGGGATTGGGAGGCCCGCGTTCCAGGGACCGCTGTTAGCCCACCCCGGCGTGACTCCCTAGCCCACCCCGGCGTGACTCCCTAGCCCACCCCCTCCCTCTTGGGGAGGGGTGCGTAGGAGGAAGGTAGGTGGTTCGGGGCAGGCTGAATCGGACGACGAGTGCGAACGCAGGCGGTGTCACTAGTTTGGTCTAGGTTTTGTCTAACCAGGTGCCGTTCATAGGAATTTGCATTGTTGACTGATAACGTTGCGCGATCAGTAATGCCAAATGATTTGCACCCTTTTCATTATGTTCAGCGTAACTACGTTATGACAATGTCAGAAATGAGCTTGATATGAAAAGAAAAACATTTTTCAGCATCGGCATTCGGCGCCACATGCAGACGTTACCGAATAAGGTAAATAGCGGAATACGCCCGTCGCTTAACCCGCGAGTTGCTGGGGGGGGGGGGGCGTTAAACGCCCCCACTTTTTTCGCCGGGCCATAGCATAAAAACGGCCAAATTTTGGGTACCTGAAGGGAATTGATTGAAGTTTATTGTGACAAAGTTTCAAAAAAATCGGTCGGAAAAATTTTGAGATATCGAGGTTTTAGTGACGTTATGATTTCTGAGTTTTCGACCAAAAACGGCATATGTTCAAAAAATCATATAAAATCACAGAATAGACATACAGACACGCCGTAAACGCCATTAGACTGCCAATACCATGAACAATCAAATGGCTATCTTCGATTATTGATTATCGTTCCGCATTTTCCAAATTCTTGAACTGAAACTTGGCAATTTCACGTGACTACTTGACGACCATGATACATGCATTTCTTAAATTGAACTTTTTGAGCCAAACACGTACACATATGATAAAATGAATGTCACCATCGTGTTCTACGCCCCAAATTACCCATAAAACATGTGTCACGGGCTGCGAATATCAGTTTTGATTTTCGGAGATATGTGCATACCCGGTTGACCTGACCTTGACCCTGACCTATGCTTGACTGACCGCTACATGGAGCTGACACTCTTGTAGGCTTTATATGATGGATTGTGCACCGTTTTGACAGAGTTTATGACGAGAGGCGCCCATTGCGAAGTCCTGAAGTCCATGCTACTGAAAGCCCGATTTCATGTGTTTGACCTGACCTTGACCCGACCTGTGACCTCAAAATTCAACTTAAAAGTACTCATCTGAAGCGTCTCGTCGCGTTCTTTCGTTTGCCGCCTCGTGCGTTTCGCTGCGCCTATTGGTTCTCGAGTTATCGGCTGGGGGCGTTTAACGCCCCCCGCCCCCCCAGCAAACGGTGGGTGGCGAAATACCCCAGCAACTGCCGGGTTAATCTGGGCTAAGAAGGGTACCACGAAGATTTTGGCTTTTCAAAAATGTTTCCAGAAGACAGCGCTCCGGGCCTTCCTTCCCAGGGGATTGAAAGGAGGAGGATACTGATTCACATGTCTTCTGTGTCTATCCTCCTTTCTGGAGCACACTACGGCACGAGGCACCGCACGAGCTATCGTCATAAATCACAAACGCTAGACAGTTACCTGATCATGCCCGGATCGCGTTTCCACTCCGGAAGAGACTCGCGGCAGCCACGGGTCCTCATTGGTCGGCCGGCGGCGGTGTCATCTCTCCCCGACCGTGTGGCGACGCTCCGTATTGGCCGCTGGCGTAGTTCGGTAGTTTATCACACGAATAGCCGGGTCCGTCGGTATAGGCTGTGGATCTATGGAATGAATAATGAGAGGTATACTGCTTATGATCTAAACTTTGAAAATGCTGTATACCTACATGTGATGAACATACAATACCTACATTTCGGCCATTTGAAGAGAACATTTTCTGTTGTTCAGCGAATGATAGCAAACACGTTTATTGTTGATGCGAAGTTAGGTCACAAAACTAGATTAAGTGACCTCGCCTTTCAACCTAATTCATTCATGCGTCGTGTGCTTTTTTATTTTATTTGATGTTTTGCATGAAAAATGTACCTATTAGCTAAACAATGCTGATTTATTCTAGACGACAGCGGGGCTGATATTTATTCCGAGACCCAGCACACGTTCCCAGATCCGTAAACAAGTTCGTCTTATCGACTGTAACAGGCTAGGTCGGTCCTCATGGCGACCCACATTCTCTCAGACCAGTCCTGAAAGAGGCCCACACAGTGACCAAAGTCACGCCCGCCACGGTCCGGCGAGCGCTGCGCTCGTGACTGCCCTCCCTCGGCCAGGTAACCGGCGTTTTCGTGGCGTTGTTGGTCCGGCGACTCACACCACGCCCTCGGGTTGACAAAGTGGCTTGTGTCATGGTCGTAAGCGTGTTGTGGCGGTTGTGCGAGTCCGTGGGCTTGTGTGGCGAACTCCGCATCCACGGTAAATTTGGTGTGACCGTTCAAGGCGTAATATTACTAGGTGCCGAAACAGATTTCGCGTGAGGTGTCGGTTCACGGAGTGTCCTGTGTCCTCCTGTGGTAGCAATCATGAAGTTCAAATTTTGACCTCTGGAGGTATGCTGCTTCTTACTCGTACATGTATAGGTTGAACGGACATTTGTAGGCCGTCACTCGTCAGTGGGTTTAGTCTCTATGCTCGTAATAACCCAGCCACTAACCTATGTGGTTCTAATCTGTTAGGATCGGTTTGTCCCTGCTGCTTGCTCTGTCGAAGTTCGATCAGATGTGCCCCGGTGTGTGTCGAAAACATCAATCTCAAACGGTACCACATTCGTGGGATCAGTCTGTCCAACTCAAAGATGGCAAGTACCGTCATGCCATTACGGTTATGTGGTACAAACGGGAGACGTCGATGCTCCATGCGAAATTGGTCACCTCCCATCGCGGTGTCGGTGGCGGCGGCGGTGCCAATTTCGACCACCGAGTGGCGGTCTGTGCCGATCGCAGCGCTCCGCGAATCCAGGCCGCCGCGGTGGCGGTAGCGGAGGGTCTGCGGTCGGTCGGTCGGCCGTCCGCCCCGCGGCCAGCGCCGCCGTCGGCCCCAGCCCAGCCGCTGACTGACACACATCACTTGGTCAGGACCACTGCGCATTGGAACACGGACCGTCCCCACTTTCCATATTCATACACGTGTCGACGGACTCCCGTGAGAATGGTGTTTGTATGCACAGTGCTCACGCCAAACTATCTCTGACCGTGGGGATGTTATCCATATAGCCGACTTAAC